ATCCCATTATGCAACAGCCTGGGCAATCTGGAATATGCTCCTACAAATACTCTTGTTGGCCATAAAAGTTGACATTTGACTTTATGGTCTGTTTTATAGCATCAGCTCCCTTGTTCCCCATTGAGAACCCCTCCTCCCAAGAAACCATAAACCACAATTGAGGGAAATTTTGAGCTGCCATTTCAGCTAAGCAGCCATAGGATCCCCTATGGACCACTCCTCCAGCTCCAGGCATGGGAGCACCTCTCCATGTCTCATCCCCAGGGGCCTCCCACTGTCTTTAAAGAAATGGAGAATGAAGAATGAACTGGAGTAGATGATGCCCTCTCATGTGTCAGCATCCCCCTGCAACCAAATGTATCCCCACGATAGTGTTGCTGCAGGATTTGGGGTGCTGACAGTGAGGGTAGTGTCATTTATGCTGCTTCCAGGTTTCAGGACAGAGTACATCTGTCAGGGCTCCCATGTGCAGTGCATTTGTTTTCTGGAGACACATTTAGGGTATCATTTGCATTGCACTCAACTTCTGCCCCCAGAAAAAGGTGAGATCACTTCCACTGCCATTGCAAGAGGCGTGTACGTTTTGAATAAGGGTGAATATGAGGAAAGAAGAGGAGCTCATTTTTAGGAGCAACACTTCCAGTGCTTTGGTTAACTGCAGTGGTTAGGCAGGAGGTTGTAACACTTAAAAGACCTTTTCAGCTGTATTTCTTGTCTTTAATGGGAGTATGACACCTGCCAGCTCTCCATCTGTTTCTCTCTCCTGCAGAATACCTGCCATCGAGTGAGTGAAGACAAGAAGGTATACAGCAGAGTAGATCAGGGTTCAGGTTTTCATGGGTACAGTTGTCTGTCAATTAAAAAAAAACAAACCAAAACAAAGCATATAAAAAATCCCGAGAATGAGGAAAACTGTGATGATGGCACTCAGAGATTCAGAAAGAGCCCAACTAGGTAAACACTTCAACATCATAGTGGCCTCCTTTGTGTTTGTCTCTCCATTCCCTCATTTTTCATGCAGAGCTATTTCCTTTTGCTCTTACAAGTATATGAATTCTTCTCCTGTCAACTTTGTATCTTCTAATCCTTTACCCATAATCAGGCACTCTGACTTGGAAGGGTAGCAGAATACTTTTCTTCTGGTGAGAACTATTTTGTTTTCTTTAAAAAAAATTAAAAAAAAAAAAGGCACCAGGATTTTGCACCTTTCTTATTTCAGAGAATATCTGCAGCCAGATCAGCTATTCCTTTCCAAAACTGTTTTCACAGGCATTTCCTGAAGACAGTCTATCAGATAAAATGCTGACTTTAGCCTTTTCTTTGTCCTCTGCATAGGGTATTATTTTATTCTTGTTTTTGCAGTTTCTTTCTGAGTTTTACTGAAAGCACTTTTGCCAGTGCATAAGGAGATTCAGGGCCACTGTCAAAAAAGCTATGCATGTTTCCGCTGGATAGATGTCTAAACTTGTTTTATGAATTTTAGCCAAACTAAGTTAAACAACTAATCACAATTAAGAAATTAATTAGATGATTTCTTTTTTTCTAAAAAGGCAGTCTTTGCAAGGATTCTTCAGCTCGGGGAATGCCTCTGATGGGCAAAGGTTGCTGTAATGTCATTTATTTCACCTCTCAGGCTGCAGGAGTCTAAGTGGAAAGTAGAAATTAATGCTTGGGGCTGTGCTGGGATCTTCTCCACTGGCTTGCTAACCTCAGAATGCCAGAAATATTGTCAATCTACCTCTGAACAGGTCGAGTCAATCTTTAGCTATTAGGTTGCTTCTGAGGCTGGAAGTCTGCAGCTTTTTCATAATGGTCATCAGCGACTGAATGCAAGGTATACTAAGTTACTCCTTAAGCACAGTGCTTCTTTGTGGGGAATAAAACACCCAACAAAATTACCCAAACCATGCAAAATGGAGGATTTTGAATAATATAGAATCATATTAAATGTTTTTTAAAAAATACAGTTTGTCACCTACCCTGTATGCTTTCTCCACACACTATTATCTGCATATACAAATTTCCTCACATTTCCTGAGGTTAAGACCAGACATAACCTTCATGCCCAGACACTGGTGTGCTCAGGAATAATTGTTTGATGTGCATTAAGGTAGAATATATCATTGCTAAAGGGAAAAGTGCACATGGAGTGGAGAGTCTTGAAAGGCAGACCCTCCAAGAAGCTCCTCTTTCTCTTGGACAAATGACCTGCTGCACTGTATCTTGAATGCTGAAGATAACGGGAAACATATCTTGGAGAAAATGAGAAATTTTGAATAATATCTAAGCATCTGCGTCCCAAGGGAGGAAATGATCCCACTTACTTGAAAGTTAGATGTTCTGTTTCAGCTGATTGTCCTGATTAATTGATGGCCATAGAGATTTATTTGCAAGGAGTGATTTAACCTAGTTTAGTCCAGACACTTATGCTAGGCAGAACAGGACAGGGAGGAAGGCAGTGAGAAGAAGAATACCTGACCTCTCCCTGAAGAGCACTCCAGAGTGCTGTGCATGCCTGTACAACTGCTTCTACTTAGCCCTGGCATTTTGTTATCTCCTCTGACTTTTTTACCTGCTGCAACCAAAGTGGCATCCCAATAGTTCAAATTCTCTGTTATCTGCCCAGAGTCTATTGCACTGCTGGTTTCCCAGTTCTGGTTATAATGTTGCCTGTATAAGTAAGTTCTGTAAGTGCACATAGGGGTTGATTGGACAAGGACTAATTGTTTGGTGTCTGAGAAGCCATCCTGTGTCTCTGTGTGGTTATTTTTTACTTCTGGGTCTCCTCTTGCAGTCCAAGCATGGCCCTGCTTGGTGGGGGGTTTCCCAGAATCGTGCCTCAGACAATGTCTGATCCATGAGGGGCAATGCCACCCGTGGCTATCACAGATGAGCCCTGAGGTTGCTCTCATCTTCAGTGGCGCTTCTGGTGCTGTGCAACATGGGCAAAGTCTGTCTTTTGCTTTTGTACTTGCAGAAGTGTGAGTGGCTTTTTGCCTTGGTACAAGCAGAGCCAAGGAACCTCCAGGGAGGGTGGAATAGAAAGGAGGAAAGTATGTGCAGTAGATTGTAGAATGGAAACTTTTATAAGCCGAGGTTGTTCGATGTTGTTATAACACCTGTCAAGGGTAGGAAATAATACCTTGACCCTTCCCTAGTGCTGCTCAGTCAGGTGCTGATACAGTGATGGATGTTACTTACACAGGGATAAGGGGGAGGCAGGAGGAGGGGCTTATTCTTTCCAGAGAGAAATAAGTCAGGTAAAAGGGGCAGATTTAACAGGTTTGGAAATGCTGGGCAAGAGCAGGAAAGGACAAGCATGTCAGAAATCATGTTAAGAGGAGGCAAATGAATATGGCTTAAAAATAAGTAAGTAAGCAAGCAAAGTTAATCTTAAAGCCCAGACTTGAACCAAGCTTACATTGAAACTTTAAGTTTGAATGTGCATAGATACCTCACATGAACTATTTTCCATTTTAATGAAGGAGGCCATTGCTGTGTCTGACTAGAATTGGCTTGCAAGGTGTAGCCATTAAATGTTCAAACAAGATTTGTAGCCTGCCTCAAGATAGGAAATACTGGAAATCACATGAGAACTTGTGATTTTTAGTTCCATTTAGTTCCCTTTCAGAAACTCAAGAGATTTGATCTTAATCCAGCAAGACAAGTAGCTGTGTCTGACTTTTAAGACTGTGAGTAGCTCTTTTATTTTTGTGAGACTAATGCAGAGGATGAATGTTACAGCAAGCATTACAAGGCAAAGAGATACCCTGCAAAATTATTCCTTCGTGAGACCTTCTTAAGTATCCAGATGTTTGTGAAACATCCAGAATGAGGTGAATGCCACCCTCTTGTAAAGTTTGTTCTCACCTCAAGTTGCCTGGGTTCACCCTTTTGCCCAATAAGATGTCACTAATGAAAGTTAAAAAGGATAGGGAAAGAGATGGTCTTCGGCCTGCCCCTTCTGATAATAGAGTTTATCTTTCTGCTTGATGTCAAAGGCAGCGGGTTTGGTTTTTGTTGTTCTCTGCAGATGACTGATGTAGGAAGGGTCCATCACCAGTATGGCCACCTTTTATGCTCTTACCCTTTCCAGAATTTGCCAAAGTGGTGGCATACAGGGCAGGAAGCCTGCTCTTGTGTTCGCAGAGTGGAGCCGTGGGATGTTGTACTTGTCTGAGCCCCGGCATTCCTCCTTGCTCCCTCATCTTTCCTTTGCTGCCTCCTGTTGCATTTGGAGCCAAGCAACTCAAATTGCCTCAGTTTCCCCAGTTTGCTTTGTACCACTTTCCTCTTCCAGTTGACTGCCTTCTCAGAAATGGGCAAACCAGTTATGCCAAAGAGCAAGTAGTGGAGGCTGTAAGTGAGGGTTCTGGGCAATCTGTGGCTTTTATTCAAGGCTTCCCTAACTCCCTCAGGAAATGGCCTGTATTTTGATCATTTTGATCAGTGTGGCCATAGACAACACCCAGTTTGCCATAGATCTTTCTGTGTTCTGCATGAGAGGTCTGGGAGTTCGGTATTCCTACTTGCTTGGCTCTCACATGCTCTTAAACGACAATATAACATTTCAAGAAATAAAATGAGGTTTTTGTTTTTTCCCCTAATAAATGGTCTTCCATGAAATGTGTCTGAAAATTTCCGGAAGGCTCTCTCGATTTTAATCAGTAACAAACCCTATGTTTTTGTGTTGAGGGCAACTGAGGAGATTCTGCCTGCTTTGCTACTTTCTTGCCTTACCCCACATCCTCCATTTTCCCTCTTGTATTATTACCTTAAACAATATCTTTTTGAAAAGCGTACTCTTTCTGAAGGTGCTTTGTTAAAAAGCAAAACAAAAACACAAAACCAACAGCAAATAACAAACTTCCCTGAAATTCCCACAGAAACAAATAAGACAGCTTTGAAATTGGAAAGCACTGGCACACGGTGCCACTAAGCCCAGATGTTACAGCCCTGAGAAACCACAGTTGCCCTCCAGTTGTTCTGCTGACCTATTTTTCACCTTCCATTTGATGTTCTTCCATCGAGCCCCAAGGTTTCCAGGCTCAAGCACCAACATCCACAGAGACCCGCTAATTGGCAACAGAAGACCAGAGTGTGTACAGAAATAATGTTCCCTCTGCTTCCTCTCTCCATGTCGTGTACCTAAAAGGGCTCCCAAGGAAGGTGGCTATAATGAGAAAGGTGCATTAGACACTGTATGCTGGTATGTGTGTAGACAAAGGAAAGCTGAGAAAGGCCCTGCTGAACTGGAGCAACTGGCATGTACTCAGATGAGGGGTTTTTTTCCAGAGATCAGGAGCTGCTTTTCTTTGTCCCTCAGCCCTCATGACCTTTCTGGGAAGAGAGAAAGGTGTCCCATGTGCATAGTGCCACATACCCTCAGCTAACCCTCAAACATTTTTGCAGGCAGAGGACAACTGAGCTCTCCTGTTCCAGGCAGGACTCTGAAACTCCCTCTTTCCCTGTCTTGACTCACAGATAATTACTTTGTGGTGGGTGCCATCAAAGTAACCATGCCATGAGAATGTGCCCTCTTTGCACTGCTCAGTGTTCATGAAAGACAGACAGATGGAGATTAAGGGGGGGAAAAAATGTAGCCCTTTCTCATTTCTTTTTAAAACTATGTATGGCTCTTAATGTTACAGTCTCACTAAGTATTTTGAGACTGTGTTTATAGTCTTATCTTTGGAAGGACCTTAGGCCTACTGGATTTATTATATCATTGTTTCTAGAGGAATTCTGTATTTTAAACTACCCTCTGGGCCCACTGGGGCTGTATAAAGTGTTCAGACACTTTCATTGTGTTCTCATTATTATGAATATGTATTAATTTTTTTTTAATGTCCTGCCACATCTGTGGTGTTGATATCACAGGACTGATTTCTTCTGTCAGATACTCCTGGGTAAAGCAGCTCATGTGAGTATCTTGCAGCACATACAATTTGTGTGGAAGCAATTGTATATGACCTTCTTTGCATTGTCCTACCAATGACCCCTTCTGTAATCAGGCAGAAATCATGTTCCTGAAGAGTGGGAGGTATTACTGCTTCCATGCTGGTCCGTTCCTGGGCCCCTGCTGCACAGACATTGCCAACAGTAACAAATTGCTCTGAGTTATGTGCAGCAGTTTAGTGACGTGGACCAGTTATTTATTAGAGAGGGAGCTGAGACATCAGCAAAGGGCCAAAGTGTGAATAACAGAAAAATTAAATTAGGCTGCCTCATCTAGCAGGCTTCTTGCAAAACTGATCTCTCTTCTGGATCTCACCTTGTTTATCTAATGGGAGATCACATGCAGAGTTTTGAGAGTAACCCCCTTACAAATAAAGAAATGTCCCCAAGGGCTGTGGATAAAGGTGACACAGTTGGACTAAATTGTATTTCCAGAGATTGAAAATCAGTGATTTATTGTTTTGTTAGTCACAGTTTCCTAAGTTCAAACTTGGCTGTGATAGTGATTGCCTTGCTCAGAGGCACCTTTCAATTTCACGATATATGATACAAATAAGGGACCTCCTCCCACGCACTTGGAAGGACAAGGCAGCTCCAGAAGACCAAGGTTTTCTGGTAAAAGCCAGGTCACTGGAGGTCACTGAAGCAATGCTGATTGCCAAGATAGAAAACCCTTATTTGTTTTGACTCGGAAAAGAAACTTCTAAGTTTAACACCATGGGTCTATAATGTGGACATTTCAAAAATGGGAGAAGACCTCTTTATGGTGACCCTTTAATAGTTGTATTGATGGGCAAAAGTGATGCCAGTAGACAACTGGTCTGCAAACATAATGAAGTTTCACCCTCAGTGATTCAATTCAGTTTGCCCAGAATAAGCTTCTTGGTCCCTTTCTTCCCTTCAGTGGTCACCCATTATAATGCTCAGTACATTTACCTGATGCAGAATCCTGAAGGGCTGGAATGCTCTGGAGAGGACACTGGCAGCTCCTGGAGAGCGAAGGGCTTTTCAGGCAGATTGAGATGTGACAGTAACGTGACCCAGACCTGTAAAGATCTGAAACAGAAGAGTGGGTGGGAAGAGATGTTGATGCAAACTCCAGTGCAAAAAACAGGCTGTGCTGAATAAGTGCTTCTCTTTCCTGGGCCCCTCACTGGGCACCAGAGAGACTTGGGCTTGCGTGATGCACCACAATCAAATGGTTTTCAATTGGATCAGTAACTGTGGCACATGACCCTGGCAATAGAAACCCAAGGAACTGGTGCTGAGCTCTTTGCTTAAGTTAAGCCTCCAAAACCCCACAGCACACTGCGGAAGTGACTTCCATGAAGATGGACAAATAAAGTAGACTGTCACAGGACAAATAAAGTAGACTGTCACACTTGCAAATAGATGTTGGTGTGTGAATTCTGCTGGGAAAAAAAATCAGTAAGACCTTAATAATGGCTACAAGCTGCCTTCGGATCTACCTAACCACTGTGGGATTGTGTCTTCAGGATAAAGCTTTGAAATAAAAAAGGGGTTTGGCTTGGTTCAGATTGAATCAGCTCCTCCCCAGCAAAAACACTGCAAAGACCCGGGTCATCAGTGAGGCTTTGGGTTACTAGCTTTGGAGGGGCTGAGGGCTGCAACCGCAGGGACTTGCTGCTGAGGCTGCTCACCTGTTGCCCACCTGTTTGCAAGGCAGGGGCTGTGTATGCCTTCCATGGGGACAGCCTCTAGCAGACAGACCTCTTACTTGTGAAATCTTTCATTCTGTAAAAATGATTTTTTTTAAAAAAATTGCCTTTTTTAATTATGAAATTTTAAAATACTGGATTATATTTCTTTCTCTTCTCCTCCCTTCCCCCCCCCCCCCCCTTTTTTTTTTAACTCCTTCAGTTTCCCTCCTTTTGCCTCTCCCTGATGTTTCAGCATTTCCTCTGCTTTGGAGGTGCACCAACCAGCTAAAGCAAAAATACTTGGATCCTGGATCTGTTTCACCCACCAGAAAAGAAAAGTCTGGGGAGGAGGACAGAAAATTTTCCCAGTGTTTTACAACTATAGCTCCCAAAATCAGATGAAAAA